ACAGCCTGCACTCAGAGGTGCTCAAAAACTCTTGAATAAATGAGTGAATGACAATACCAAAATAATAGAGTCCTAAAGTAAATTTTAAAAACACACAAATTTACTGTTGTGAAAGTAAATTAAGTAAATATGACGTTTTCAGATGTATGACTCAAAGTTTTAAAAGTTTTTCTGATGGGGTTACAGAAAACAAGTTTAACTTATTGATACAGCTAAGTGTCCATTTCTCCCCAAATCTTTGGATGGTTCCAATAAATAATGAAGTTTGGGTGTGTGGGGGGAGGAATACATGAGATGCTAAAAAGGAGAGGCCTTGTCAAGTCTGGGGCAGGGAGGGAAGATGATGACAGATGATAGCAGAATGGAGTAACCCGTGGGTGATGTCCACCAGCACCAAAGGCATCTCCTGATCTCTGTGAAATGTGCAACTTTTATGAGAAATCCGGGCTTTTTGCTCACTGGACAGACACTGAAGAAAGATCATTCAGAGGGAAAGACTGAGGTTGAAAGAGCAGCAAACAAATGGGTAATAGAACAGCAGCTGGCCGATGCCCATCAAGATTTGCTGGGACACTGACTTTCTACGGGTAGGCTCCTGGCAGCAGCTGAAGACTTGGGGAGACGGACTCATGCTGCCTCTCATATGGTGGAGATTGTATGGGGGTGGGAGGATTTCCACCTTCAAACCAGAGAGTAGGACTTCCCCTTCCCCCACTCAGATCTTCTAAAAAATGATTATTTAGAAAGTGAGGGAAATTCAAATAATGAGGTTTCAATAAATTACATTTTACTTCAAATAAAACTCCACCTAGGCTACCATGTTCAGTCCGGCTTTTTAATCCAGAGTGAAATACCAAACTCAAGACCAAGACGCATTAGAAGCAATATGAGGCCAGTTGTTCCAGAGGTGCCATCATTAAAACGACTTATATTTGTCAGAATAAATCCATGTGTTGCCACCTGGAAAGGCCCGCTTCCCCTTCGATGCCTCCCTGCCCTTCCTGTGCTTTTCCTCTCACAGGCATGAAAAGCCCGTCTTGTCTTCATCGTTCCCCTCTCTCCTCTGGATGCCAAAGAAACATTTCAGGTTTGTTTTCTTGTTTCAAGAAAGCAGCCAAACTTTAGACTGTAGTGTGTTTTAATTCATTCTGAAAAAACAAACTCACATGGATCGATGGACTGTTCAGGTCCCCTTACTTGGACCCGGCACACTATGAAATCCAAACAGCTCTGCATAGTTACATTGAACGGGCTCTTGTGCTGTGAAGTCACTGGGTGTGGGGAGCAGCGGCACATTCCCAAGACAATCACTAGACATGCAGAATGCCAGCCGGAAGCATGGGTCACTTTCAGGGGTCTTGCCGCAGGGAGCATGAGGTTGTATTTTGTGTGCACTGACAACTGTGTAGGGTAAGCCAGCTGTGTTCAAGGGAGCAAAGCACCCCCTCGTCCTCTGAACCCAAAGGGGTGTCTTCCCAAAAGGACTGTCTTTCCAATCTGTAACGTTTGGGGCCAGATACCCTTCTGAGTTGTGTGTTGCTCCTTTGAGAGACAAAGCCACGCCACCATGAGCATGAAAGCTGGCGGACCCCCTCCATTCCCATCCCCCAGCATGGCAAGAACAACTGCCATTCACCCCATGAATCCAAAAGGATCCCTCTGTCCCTGGGTGTAAGCATGGCGCTGGCCAAGCGAGCCTTGGATACCCAGGACTGCTGGGCTGTAGCTATGTTGGTGTATCCCATGTGCAAGGTGGCAAAGTGCTTTTGTTCCTCTGCCTGATCCAGGCGGAGGACAGGGCTGGGGGCTGCCTGCCTAGGGCCCCTAGCCCATGTGCTTATACTGGGACCGGTCCCTGGGGATCTGCACCTGGCTGGCAGTCATTTTGTGGTGGATGTGGTAAATCACCAGCGTTACCACAATGACGAGACCAAGGATGAGCCCCAAAATCAGGGGCAAGGTTTCCTCCAACTGCTCCCGCTCGTCCACTGGGCACTTATGCTCTGAAATCAGAAAGAGGAAAAGCAGTGAGCTCCAGTCAAAAGGTACTAAGTCACAAGTCCTCCCACCAAGACTAAAAGGGAAATGGAGATGAAAACCTCTCTCAAGGAACCTCTTAGAAGACAGGGTTTTTTCAGAAACAATATTTCCCCAACCAACTCTAAGGCTGAATCACAATATTTTTGCATAATATAAATTAAAAATACACTGATTAAACGGGGCAACATTCAGTTATCAGAGTCCTGGCAGATGTCAGCAAAATACCCAGATGAGTTTTATCTCTTAACGAAGTTTTAGGGGAAAAAAAACTAAACTAAACACAGCAAAGAAAGTGGCATCTAAAGGAAGTAATAAACTATGGACATTTCAAAAATAATCATGGGAAAATAAGAGGATGTCAAAAAGTATCATGAAAAATACTGAACCCCCATCCTAACCCATCCCCTTCCACTAAGAGGTCAAATAAAGGGGAACTCCTGAGCCCGCTGTCCCTTCCCCGCCATTCCAAAATCCACAAAGCTCTGGAAACCAAAAGTCATTTGTTACCACTCATGTGGCAGCAAAGCCTGCCTTGAGCTAACATTGGACTGCTCATGGCTCTAGGTCATCCTACCTAGCGTGAAGATCCCCGTGTGTCACTGCGGGATAAAGATATATTAATATATTTGATTACAGGGGGCTGCCTCAACTTCTCTGGGGTCTCCCATCATACGTTATTTCCCCTTATTCACGAGGGATATGTTTTAAGGCCCCCAGTGAATGCCTGAAACTGTAGAGACTACCAAGCCATATATATATGCTGTGTTTTTTCCTGTACACACACCCCTAAGATAAAGTGATTTATAAATTAAGCACAGTAAGAGATGAACAACAATAACTAAAACAAAACAGAACAATTATAACAGCATACGGTACTAAAAGTTACGTGAATGTGGGCCCTCTCTCCAGACACCTCATGGTAATGTATTCACCCTTCCTCGTGTGATGATGTGAGATCCTACAACTGCCCCGTGAGGAGATGGGGTGAGGTGAGTGACTGGGCTTTGGGACGTGGCGTGGTGTTAGGCTAGAAGGGTTGCTTGAACCCAGGCTCTGCAATACCCAGTGGTCAGTGTCATAACCTGGACAGCTACCAAGCAACTAAAGGCAGGGGGCACATACAGTGAGGATACGCTGGACGAAAGGGGGAGTCACTTTCCAGGTGGGATGAAGTGGGGCAGCGAGGTATTTTACCATGCTGCTCAGAACATTGCACAACTTAACACGTATGAATTGTTTATTTCTGGAATTTTCCATTTAATATATTTAGACCATGATTGACTGTAGGTAACTGAAATTGTGGAAAGCAAAATCACGGATAAGGGGACTCCTGTAGATGAACTATGCACTGTATTGTCTTCCTAAAGTCTATGATATTCTGATTTCTGAAAAACATCAAGGGATTTAGAGGAGAAACTGTGAACCCGTAAAGGACTCTCATTTCCCTTTTAGGCTTAAGCCAGTGTTTTCAAACTGCCTCTGACCCCTAGGGGGAAATATTTACATTGCAAGTCAGAAGAGATACATAACACACACATAACTAAAACCAAAGTTTTATAAAACAAGTTATCCTTACTTTGTGCACCTGATAATTTATGCTCTATTCTATTCCCGTTTATTTAAAACAGTGCTGGTCACGACCCACTAAAGCAGAGGTTGTAATCTTTTTTACTAGTATGATGATTCTATAACCCCTTCTCAGAATAATACTTATAAATGCATAAAAATAAAATACATAGGTTATACAGGAAACAGATTACACTGAAATTCAGCTATCAAAACATTTTTATTTATTTATTTTTAAATACATCTTTATTCATTTCAGAGAGAGAGAGGGAGAAGGAGAGAGAGAGAGAGAGAAACATCAATGATGAGAGTCATTGATCGGCTGCCTCCTGCACTCCCCCTGCAGGGGATCGAGTCCGCAACCAGGGCATGTGCTCTGACCGGGAGTCAAACCGCAGTCTCCTGGATCCTAGGTTGACACTCAGCACTGGGCCATGCCCATCTGGGCTCAAAACTTTTTAAAATAATTTGGGAGACAATAATATATGTACTTCTTTGTTAATACACATGTATTGTCTGTGATTACAAAGGAATGAGAAACATGTTATTTGCAAGATCTGCACAAACTAATGTGAGATGAAAATATGATTTCCAGCCCAGCCAGCATGGCTCAGCAGTTGAGCATCAACCTGTGATCCAGGAGATCACGGCTCAATTCCCTGTCAAGGCACATACCCGGGATGTGGGCTTGATCCTCGGTGTGGGGCGTGCAGGAGGCAGCCAATCAATGACTCTCTCATCATTGATGTTTCTCTCTCTCTCCCTCTCCCNATGGGCTTGATCCTCGGTGTGGGGCGTGCAGGAGGCAGCCAGTCAATGACTCTCTCATCATTGATGTTTCTCTCTCTCTCCCTCTCCCTTTTTCTCTCTGAAATCAATAAAGAGATATTTAAAATATATATATATGACTTCTATTTGCAACAAAGTCACAGGTACTACTAATACTACTATTGGTTGTTACTTTCATTTATAATAGAAGGAAATGTTAAATATTAATTATAAATTAGTGGGAATAATATACAAACATTTCCCATTGAAATTTGCAGACCCCCTGAGCTCTATCCACCAACCCTATAAACCCGTTAAGATGCAGTGCAAAAAACTGACTATACCACCCACGGATTATAACACAAGGGAGGCCCTAGGTCTCTGCCTGGGAGAAGAGCATCTCTTGGTTTAGCCCAGATCAAATCTGGCTTTGGACACTTGGAGACCCCTAACTTCCTGTCCACCTCTATAGGCCTTGGGGTCCCTCCTGCCTCTGTCCTGGCTGGACTCAGGGTCCTAGAGCACACAACACGGGCCCAGGGTGCTAAGGCAACAGCCAGCCTAGTCACTGGGAAGACAGATCAGACAGCAGAGGGGTCATCTATTGCCAGCTTCAGGTTGCTAACTATGGTCCCATCAACCATAAACCTGTGCACCCCCTCCCTGCCAAAATCTCCATTCATCATAGATTCTGCTTTCTGTGTGTTTTGCTTTCTTTTGTTTCATTTTGTGAGCAGAGCATTTCAGAGCTGTATTTACTCCCTGAGGCACACAGTCCAAGAAGTCTTCATTGTACCCCAAGCGAACAGCATTGAGATGGGCAATGGGCCAAGGGGCAAGCTGTCCGCTTTCTCCAGCTCTGCCAACGCCACAGACTATTTCTGTCCGAGGAGGAGGACAGCTTTTGCTGTCTGGGCTTCCTTCACAGTCTGATAGGGCAGCTAAAGGAAGGGGTTTGCCCCTCTTTCCATATTTTCTCTGGGCTCCTGTAACCTCAGCAAAATGTATTTTGTATGCTGAGGAGTTATTAAGATGAGTGGGCTTCGGAGAACTTTGGCTGGAGACAAGGAGATACTCTCACCAAGATGCAAGCACTAGTGATAAAAAAGGCGATAGAAGCCATTCTGGTTGCTGCCCCTGTGCCAGGCACACGGCAAGCACAAGAAGGAGATGCCAGCCCGTAAGCTGCACAGGGCAGGGAAAGTTTATAGCTTATCTCTCAGTATTTAGGTACAGCAGACACAGACAATGTCTTGTCCCCTTGGCATTCACCATTGCCACCCATTCCCACCGGTTTTGACTACAAAGCAAGTAGGATGTCCCAGCGTCAATGCCTGTCCCCCCATCCAGCAGCCATTGGAAAGACTGTAGGGTACCCTGAATTCGTGAGCTTCTTATTATGGTTTCTAATATTCCTAACAGCATGATTGGGGGATACCACCGAATCCGTGTTTTATCCAGGTGGGATAACTGAGGTGGGTCCTATAGCCTCTCCCAGAGGTTCCAGCAGCGTGACCCCAGGTGCCTGCAGTAGTAACCTGCTGATTAATGCACTTGTGTGGACTGCCCTGACTTCCTATCTCGCTTCTCCAATCCCTTATCAGTGCTTTCTGGAATGACTTCCTAAATAAACTACTTGCACTTACATACATCCTTAGGATCAGCTTCTGGGGAACCCACACTGAAATACTATGTTCCAGGACAGTACCGGGAACACAGAGCCCTAAGATGGACCAGCGACGTGGCCCTGCCCTGGGGCTCCATACTCCAGCCTTCAACACAGTTCTCAGCAGTGTTAATAACAGAATCGCCTCCCTCTAGATGCTTATACAGGAGGCCTGAGGAGCAGCTACTCAGGGTGACATGTTTCTTGACTGGGAAGTGGTGAGTAAGTCACAGGTCTACACACCCCTCCAGATCAGCATTAGCAACCCTCCCTGCATTGGTGGCACCAGCCACAGGGCACATACTGGGGGTGGTGTACAGAGGAAGGTAAGGCACGTTCATTTCCGCTAGAAACAAATCGTTTTTCCCACAGTTCTGGATAAAATACAGAGCAGGTGACATCTCCCAATCATGCTGTCAGCAGCAATGACAAAGGGCTCATGAGCTCAGAGTGCCAGACAACCCTTCTAAAGGTGTCTGCCCCCACATGTTGGTTATAGCTGCTCAGCAGAAGCAGCTGAGGCTCTGAGAGGCTAAGGGGCCGGGATCTGATACCCAAAGACAGGTTCTGGCCCCGGCCCTGGCAGCCAGGAGGAGGGCAGCCGTTACCAACAGCTTCACTTCTCCAAGCCACAGTTTCTCGGCACCTTCTTCACAGGCTGGTTTGTTTTCCTCCTTGAGAATTAAAAAGGGGGCCAGCCTATGCCCGGCCGGGTGTGGCTCAGTGGCTGAACGTCCACCCAGGAACCAAGGGGTCACCGGTTTCACTCCTGGTCAGGACACATGCCCAGGTTGCAGGCTTGATCCCCAGTGGGAGCATGCAGGAGGCAGCTGATCGATGATGTTTCTTTCTTATTGATGTTTTTACCTCTCTATCCCACTCCCTTCTTCTAAAACTCAATAAAAATATATATATTAAAAAAGGGGGTCCAGCCTATAGGTGGTAACTTTTAAATGCTTGTAAAATCTGAATCTTTAATAAAGAGGAGCAGAGGTGCCCTTGTGTTCTACCATGTTTCCCCTGCCGTTATCCATAAACGTTGCCTCTAGTTCAAGCTATTACAATACTCAGGCTGATCTGCTCCCTCTCAGTGTGGCATCCCCCATCCCATGACAGACGGAAATCTCCTGGGGCCCTCAAAGGTGGACACACAAGGTATTTACTGTGGGAGGACAAGTTAATCCACCTCAACTGAGCCTCATGGGGTGCCTTGAACTGCAGGGGGGTAGATGACACGCAAAATGTATTTGTCATGGAAATGAGCCAACCTGGCCTCTGTGTATCGGCCCCCAGGTGGTTTATTTCTTCCCTGACTGAGACCCATTAGCTGAAAAGCCTGCTGGCGCCAAACTCAAAACTTTACACATCCAATTATTTTCAAAACAGCCCCAAAAGCAGATTTTTTAGCCATTTAGAGCCTGCCTGCTTTGCATAACAAACCTCAACCACCAGCTGTTACCCATTGATAAGATAGGGTCTTGTGGTTATAAGGCCCAGAGCCTCTTTGCTGCCCCTCAGAGCTCTCTGACCCGGACTCCTCACTGTGCTGCGGAGGACCAGGCATCACCTGGGCAGGTAAGCCCCCCTCAATGCTCTTCCTCCAGGGGTACCAGGCATCACCTGGGCAGGCAAACCCCCCTCAATGCTCCTCCTCCAGGGGTACCAGGCATCACCTGGGCAGGTAAACCCCTCTCAATGCTCCTCCTCCTCCCTAGGGGACTGGTGCTCTTCTTCTGCTCTAGATGGTGGTCCATGAGGTCCCTCCCTCTGGACTGCCCCAGGCTGCAAAGGGCTTCCCTTCTCATGCAACCCCGTCCGAGCACCACCCAATAAGTCTTGTGTGTTCTTGCTGCTCATGGTCATAGCTTTTCCACAGTATTGCACAGACCTGGAGCATCACCAGGGGCCTTGCTAGAAACGGAGCAAGCACTATGGGTCCTGGCCCCAGACCTACTGCACCAGACTCTGCATGTTAGAAAGATCAACACAGTTTACACCTGCGGAAGATTCGTGTGCACTGCAGTTGGAGACATGTTGGGCTAGCAGACGTTCCTTGGGGACTGGTGCAGTAACCAAGCTCAAAGCCCAAAAGGGATTTGTGTGATAAAGATGTCAACCCCCATTTGGGCTGAGAGAAGCCCCTGCCAGTGTCCACTAATCCACTTCACTGACCCTTCCTTGTGTTTCTCAGTCTATAAAGTAGGCCGAAGTGAAACTGCAGGCTGCCAGGTACAAGCCCTCACACAAGGATTAGATTCTTCATTAGAAACCCTGATGCTGTGGGTCCTGCACACACACGATCAACTGCATATACACACCCCTGCAGTGGGCATGCCGATGTATGACCAGATACCACACACACACACACACACACACACACACTCCACTCACATCCACACAGGCATCAGCAACACAGCCAAGCCTCCTGAGCGTCTATTTTGGGAGATGGGGGCCAAAAGAAATCTTTCAAATTCCACCAAATCAAATGAAAAGATCTCTTACAAAACACAGTGGGGGGCAGGTGCTGAGAGGCTCAGATGGGAGGAGCCAGGAACAAAAGAGCCCCAACCACACAAAGGCGCATAGATCCAGTGAGTGGCTCTGAATGGGGCTTGCCTGCTCCCAGAGCAGAGTCGAGAGGCTTAAACCCCAGGACACAATACAAAAGGGAACATCCTAATTATTACCCAGAAAGGCCTGGTGGGACAGGTGCAATCTGCTTGTGCTTAATATATCTGCATTTAGGAAGCTATATATGTTTGCAGACTCTCTAAGACTATCATGCACATCTGGGACCTGGAAGTGGGTAAAAAACTGCTTTCAAACAAAAGATGTCATTAAGCCCATGCCATGAACTTTAATAGTTTTCAGGAAAGTAGCTCTGGTCTTATTCAGAATTCATTTACTCTTGCATTGTGCACAATTCTAAACATTCGTGAGATTTGACTTCTCAGTCCATGAACGACTATGAACAACAACTTAGAAATACCCAGAGTGGGTTAGGGCGAGGTTGCAGTGAGAAACTAGTGAAAACAGCAATCACAGTGCCAGTACTACCAAGAAGTAAAGAAGTGCCTGAGAGCAGCTGTCCAGCAGAATGAAAAAAGGCCTTCGAGACTATTGAAAGGACCCCTGTAAACTCAAAGCATCTATGATACGGACCCTGGGGGTTGATACCACACAATCCAGTATTTTCACAGTAAATTCCCGGTCATTGATAATCACAAGTCCAATTACATAGAATTGCATTTAATATTTTAGTTTAAGAAAGACATTATAACATGTATAAATACTTCTGTAATCAAACAGATTATGTTTAAATGTTAAGGTCTTGACACACAATTTAGTTTCAATGTTTTAGAAAACACATCCTTCTCTGAGAACAGTTAAGTGCAGCACTGCTTTACAGAATCAATTCAATTCTGAGTTGCCTGGCATGGAAGCGTTTGGAAGTCTCTATTAATTGAGTGAGCAGCTTCAGGATATCAATTCAGCCAAAGTTAACTGGGCACCTGGCATGTGCCAAACATCGTACTAGGTGCTAAACATACGAGGATGAAAAGAAGCTGGCCGTTCTCTCGAGAACGTGGGAATTCTCAAATGCCTTATGAATGGTCACCTGGTGGGATCTATTCAGTAGAGTTTGAGTGGAAGGGCATTTCATGAAAGCTGGATTCCTTGGGAAATGACAATGATTTGTGTGTGACAGAGATGGGGACTCCCTAACATCCTGAACATTGGAATAGTTGTATTCACCCAGGGAGCCCCGGCCCAAAGGAAAGTGCCCATAAAGCAATCAGAAACTCTCCCATTTTTTAACCACAAGGAGTCCACGGAATATGAAACAACCTCCCCCAGACAAGAGAGAGAGAACAAGTTAATTGGAGGTTTCGCTTACCCTACTTTAGCCCAGTGGAAATTGTGCCCAGACTTGCACAAATTGCACAGAGGTGAACCCCTGTCATGCCCTACCTCTGCTGGGGGGCAGAGAGCAGGAGTATGGGGATGCCCTGAACCTGCCTGGTCCCCTAGCACAGACTGAGAAGGAGCATTTCCTCCACAACCCAGACCAGGCAGATCAAGGACCCAGGCCTCCCTGGGGCCCTGGGGGTATCCCTCCCACAGAGCACGTGCTGGGTGGAGGCAGGTCTTCATAATTCTCCTCTGTGGTCTTCAAGTGACCTACACACATGCGCACACACACACACACACACACGCACGAACACACACCCCTATTGCATTCTAATCACATAAAATCTTGAACTCACCTTGGTAGAACCTAAAGCTGGAAGCGTCTGAGGGAACATGGAAAAACTGAGGCCCACAGGAGCAACAACCCTTCTCCAACTTATGGCTCTCTAGGCAACTACCTGAGATTTTTAACTACTTTTTGATTGAAAGATTTAAACCCAAATTATATATTTTTTCCAAGCTGACTTTCTCACCTCTCTCCCTGTCAAGGTTCCACTTTTGGCAAAGGAAGGGGGGAAGGGAAAGATGTAGAAATAAAGGAAGGGAAGGAAGAATGAAGTAAGGGAGGAAGGGAGAGAGGGAAGAGAAAAGAGCCATTGAAGGAAGTTGGCATGATTCAGTTCACTGCTTTTAGCCTTTGAAAAATATTGCAGGAGAAGCAGTGGCATGTCAGCCTAGAGGAAATCCAAGTGGCAGCAGCCTGGGACCCTGGCAGGTCCCCTTCCACAGCCATCTGGATGTCAGCTTCCCCTTCCCTCCTCCCTTTCTTCTCCCATCACCCCCCCC